CAGGGCCACCTGGAAGAGACCACAAGCAGTCTGGAGGAGCCACAGACAATGCCCAGGAAGCCTTGGTGAGGGGTGGCTTCTGCCCTCCACCCTCCAGCCCCGGCCGAGCGTGACAGGAACAGCATCTGACTCCCAGGGCTGCGGCGCCCGGCTTTCACGGTTAACGTGAGACCCCTTCCCAGTTGGTCCTGCGCAGTGTCCTGCGGGCTGTAGACCTGGAAGTGCAGTGGCCTTTCCGCCACTGAGCTGGGGCTCAGCAGTGCCCACCCACAGAATGGAGAGTGGCCTAATGGCCCTGGGGGGGAATCGGGGCTTCAGGGTGTGGACAAGAGTGAACTCAGTGGACGTTCGCGGCAGACACGGGCAACAAGGTGCCAGACCGCGCTCAGACAGAAAGCCTGCACCGCGCCACTGCCGGCAGGACAACAGCTCTGAAAAGCCTCGGCTTCTTTAAAATCATGGAACTCAGCCACAAATGAAACCAAAGGGAGGCCAAGGTCCGGCCGCTTGTTCCTGAAGGCTCTTGGGCTGGTTTCATGGGGGAGTGGGGTGGGAGGGGAGGGGAGCAGCTGAGGCTCATCTCCACAGCATTGGGGTCAAAGGGCAGACCCAGCCAGGTGCTGCAATCGGTGGTCACACACCAAGAAGTGGGCCTGCGATGCCCAATGGCTCAGTCAATCACTGGTGGGAGAGGTGTGCAGGGGACACTTGCACTGGAGGGACCTTCAGGGCTGCAGGGCCCGAAGGCTGGTGTCACAGTCGACAACCAGGGCTGTGGGTCGGCCCTGAATTCTCACTGGCCACAGTCCTCTCCCCGACCCAGGCTTGGTGCAGAGCAGACCTCTCCGTAGCCCAGTGGATGGACGCTGAATAGAACAAAAGGCTGGTGCTCTTGTAATGAGCTGCGGTATCAGACCAAATCCAGGTACCCGCGTGAGTTAAAACGAAGGCAAACGTGGTCGTCCGACAGGGCTGGGGTGTGGGGGGATGGGAGCAGGTGCGCTTGCTCACTTAGCAAGGCGGGTGGGACACGAACCTTTTTCCACTGCAGGATTAGGAGGACGATGAAGACGACGGACTTTTCAAAAATCATGATGACGATGTACAGGGCGCACTGCCCGACCCAGGCTCCGCACTGCAGAGGGTCTCCTGCAGGGCAAGCAGTGCTCGGTCAGACGGGCCCTCCCCCTGCACCCACACGCCAGGACCCTGGCCCTAAAGGTACTCCCTTGAGAGACCCAAAAATCACGTTACTCCTGGCAGACAAATGCAGTGTTTTAAATAATATCGGAAAATTCCTTATTTGGAGATACCAGAATGGCCTTTCTTCCGAGAGATCCGAAGACAGAATTAAAAAGCACTAAAGTTAGTAAGTGCTCGCTGCAGGAGCTCGGAGAAGCTGTTCGTTCAGTCCGCTGGCAGCAGAAGCCGTGTTTAGCAAGGCTGCTATTCTTATCCACTGTTGATTTTCCCCGCAACCACAGTGCCATCGCTCCCTCCCTCGGTCCGTGTGCATGCTGACGTTTGTGAATTCCAAAGGCAGTCATCGACCTCTCTGTTCATCTCCCACCACTACCTCCCCTTCCCCCAGCCAGCCCTGGTGTCCCCAGCTCCAAGAGCAGAAACCTGACTCCAGAAGAATTCAGAGTCCAACCGTCTAGTCACCCCAAGTCTAGGGACAAAGAAGAGAAGCGAGCACCAGCAGGGCAAGGAGGTGGGAGGTGGGAGGTGGGAGGGAGGAGTGGAGGCCTGGGGCTGTGACAAAAGTCCACCTGTGATCCCAGAAGCCACCATGCTTGAGAAACCCACAAACACAGCATCCCAGCTGGGGGACACTAGGGCTGTGAAGAGCCTCCAGAATGCTCCCAAGGGACTCGATGAGGGAGGGACACCCAGTCCCTCTAGGGAATGGTCCTTTGACATGCAAACCCTAGGGATGGGCCCCCATGAGCCACACACACCGCCTGGAGTGGGAGACGCAGGGGACAGTGACGTTCGGGAGAGGCTGTCTGAGGATCAGCCAGACCCTGGAAGCTGTTGGAGCTGCCTGACCCCAGCTGGCCAGAACAGGGGGTGAGAGTAAGATTTCCAGGGGAGATAAAGGCCTCAGTCTAGGCTGTGAGAAGAGAATCTGGCCCAAAGAAAAGCTCCACCTTCTCGTTAGCTGCCTGTCCTGGGAGCCCCCACCCTACCCAGGCTGCCGGCTGTGGGCGGTCCAAGTGCAAGGGAATGCCTTCGTGCAGCTGCAATGGACAAAACACCAGGCCGTGCCCTTTTCTGGAAAACCCTGGGAGAAGCGTGGCAGAAAGCATGTAGAAACACACCAGGTGCCTCTTCTGAGATCCTCCTACTTTCACTTCTGGGGGAAAAAAGACATTGGGTCCAAAAAAAGAAACACACCAGGTGCCTCTTCTGAGATCCTACTTTCACTTCTGGGGGAAAAAAGACACTGGGTCCAAAAAGAAAAACAAACTTTTTTAGAAGCACAGCCTCTCCCCAGTAGACTGTCGGTGGGGTTTTGCAATCCTATTGGTCTATCACCTGATCCGAATTGAGAAAAGCTCTCAGCAGAAAATAGTTGCGAAAAACCATGAAGGACGATGGGCCAGGCAGACAGAACATGCCACTAGGAAATGTCTCCGGCCAGCAGGATGAAGGACACACGCTTGCTTAGGTGCTCACCCACTTCCCGGCGGAGAGAGGAAGTCACTCCCTCCCGTCTGAGCGTCTGCTGTCCAACCTGGCTGCAGATGCTGACCCTTCACACTTACATGCTAAAACCAGAAAGCTCAACAGCAGGGTGGAAAAAGGGAAAGAAGGCACCTGACCCCTCATCCTAACAAGATGTCCTCCTGTGCACCGAGACTAAGAGAGACTGTGGACGCCTCAGGTGCATCGGTGTATTTTTTTTTTAAGGTTTATTTTACTCATGAGAGAAGGCACGTGTGTGTGTGAGAGCGAGGGAGAGTGAGGGAGCGAGACAACAGACAAGGGTCTGATCACACCACGATCCCCGTCCTCCAGCTCCCCTGCTCACTAGGACCTTGAATGCCGGCACCCGGCGTATTTCAGGTCAACGCGGGATCTGAACGTGTGGCTTCCAGCACCGCAGATCAGTAGCTATTTGCTTGTGATGCCGAGCTGGGCCTGGCCGTTTTGTTTTTGCTAAGTTTACTCCTGTCATTTAAGTGGTGGGAATAGGGGCCAACCGGAGGGAATGTGCCTGTGTGAGGGGCGTACACAGACTGGAAAGGCAGTGAAGTCCACGAGGACCTGCACCTGTGGGACACACGTCATTCTCGGGGCTTCTACCCGGCCACCAGATCGAAGGGGCTAATTCTCTTGCACCCCACGTTGTGAGCAAGCTTAGGACCTTCTTTTCCAGAAACAAAGGAAGCTGCCTACGAACCACAGCCTGGCTCTTCATTCGCCTGAGTACGCTGTGGGGCCTAGGCAGACTACTGCCTGGTGAATGGACAGCCGACAGGAGCGGTATGGAGAACGGCGGCCTTGCGAAGATGTCCACCCCCGGAACTGCAAACACGAGTGTTACGTGGCTGCAAATGGCATTAGGGTGACTAACCAGCTGGCTCGAAGATCGGGAGAACGTCTCAGTGTCCCGGTGGCCTCGATGCAGTCATGGGGGCACTTTAACTGGAAGGTGGTGGGGAAGGGCAGAGCAAAGCTATGTGAGGAGAACCTGGCCGCCTGCTGCAGGCCTTGAAGTGGAGGAGGAAGGCCGTGAGCCAAGGTATGCGGGGGCCTCTAGAAGGTGCAATGGCAGCAAAATGATCTCCCCTCGAGCTTCCAGAAGGAGGTGCCTTTACAGACACCCTGATGTGAGTCCAGTGAGACTTGGAGTGGAGGGCTGAACAGAGGAACTGTGAGATCATCGAGCTGCGACTGGGCTGCAGCAGCAGGAGAAACGGGAGGGGACGGAAATAGAAATGACAGGAGCTGGGGAGACACGCTACCCTCCCTCAGCCTGCGGAGGGAAGACACGGGATGGCCTCGAGAAAGGGCACCTTCATCTGGAGACACCCTGGCTTGAGGCCTGTGGTTCCAGAGTCTGCTGGGAAGGCCCAAGGACAGGGCTGGGCCCAGCCAAGTGAGCAGGGGAAGAAATTCACGTAACCATTGTTTCTTCCTTCTGACGTCACCGATTCGTGCGTGGGAGCAGAGGCCACCATCGTGCCTGGTGAATCGGGACCAGCCGTGACCTGCCAGGTCACTGAGTGGTCGTAACTCACTGTAGGTCCACTCTGCACCGGTCCGCTGTAGCTGAGTCCAGAGCCCTGCCTTCCAAAGGGATCGTCACAGCAAAGGGACAGCTAGAAGGACTGCTGGTGGAGGTGGTGGGAGGGTCTAGGTACCCTGGTGCAGGGGACGTGAGGCCCCTCCGCCTGGTGAGCTCCGTGTGCTGCTCTACTTCTCTGGGGCCTGTTCTACAATGGAGGAGGAAGCCACACGGTCCACAAACACTGGGGCCCTTCCGACTGCAAACTGAGGCGTCGGTCATGCGGAGCTTCTCGAAGCCTTCCCTGGGCCACCGGGGCACACGCTGTGAGCTGGACACTATCTTAAGTCAGTGACTCATCAGGCATCGAGTGACAGGCTAAGAAAAGGCTTCCCCTGAGCTCATCCCCCTTCAATGGAGACAAGTGGTTACTTAAGATTTCTAGAAATACCCAGGACACTCCCAGCCAGCTCTATGCATCGGCTCCCCTTTAATCCCTCAGTCCCTATGCACCTTCAGCCATCTGGGAGTGAGTGGCCCTTGGGCCCAGGGCCGTGAGCTCTTTGGGAGGGGTGAGCAGGAAAGGAGATTGGAGACCCAAATTCCACCCACACTCCCTCCCTCTGGTCCTGTGTGCCCCCCTCCTGGCAAAGGCCGCTGCTGCCCCTGCCACTGAGAAGAGGAGATCCTGCCTGCGGATGTCTCATGCCAGTTGGGAAGGTGGGAACAAGCCAACGTTACTCCTTGACCCTGTCTTGAAGCCCCAGAGGGCAGCGAGGGCCTGAAGAAGGCGCCTCTCCCCAGCGGCCCATGCTGAGGCCACGCCCAGTGAATCTCCCGCTCGGAGCCAGTGTGCAGGGAGCGTCCTTCCTAAGCTGCATCTGGTGGGGTCTGATGAGATGGGAGTGGGTCACAGACAATCCAGCACCCACAAGTCACCTCACAAGTCGGCTAGGTAAGCTGTGTCTCTGCATGAGGATGGATCTCGTGTCCCTGGTGACTGGTATGTGCCAGAGACAGGGTGGGAGATGAGCCTGCAGTCGGGAGAAAGCTGGCAACTTGTCCCAGAGGGGATGCACCTCCATTTTTGGCTGTGTGACACCAGTCTGCCAGTGCACTGGCCCGGCGACAGGACGGCACAGATGTGCGGCAGGAAGGGGCAGGGCCTACCACCTCCCTCCTGAACACCTCCCAAAGAGAGAGGTGCCCCACATCCCCAGCGTGGCGGCAGGTAGGATGAGGCCCACGAGAAGCTGGGCAGGATGAGATGGCCTTGCACCTCGTTCAGCCTCAGTAACCTCCTCTGGTAGAAGGGGTAAACCTTCAGACCCTCCCAGTCCAGGGCATCTCTGGGCTCCTGCCACCTTTCCTGGCACAAAGGGCAGTGAGATGGGCACCCGCAGGCCCCAGAAGTAGCCGCTCCACCACACGCGGGAGATGGCACCGGTCCCTGAACCTTCCTGGATCTGTGTGCCTGGCGGGCTACACAGGTGAGAAGCTGAGGCCATGCCCAGTGTTTCCACGCCAGCCCCCACGCCCGCCTGGTGTCCCCGGCAGTTACCGTACTCGCCGAAGCGCAGGGCCTCCCACTGCTGCCACTCCACCACGACGCTGACGGCGCGCACGCCCGCGTAGATGAGCAGCATGCCCACGGTGGCGTCCAGGAGGAAGTTGATGAGGTACCTGTGGGAGAGGAGCCCCAGGGAGTGAACGGAAGCCCCTGAGTTGGGCCGTCCATGGCCCAAGCAGGTCAAGAGCCCAGGCCGATGTGTGGCCCAAGGGGCAGCCCCCGGTGCGGCGTCTGGTCTACCCTGCTCTTGGGGGCTGGTGGCCTCCGTTACGTGTCTGCAGAGGCTGCAGCTCTCACCGGAGCCCCCAAAGCACTCATGCTCTTCATGAGCCGAACTATCAACCCTCGAGAAAGGAGGGAGGTGCAGGGGAGAGATGAGGCACTTTAAAAACCTCAAGCGATTCTGCCAGGAGAAGAGTCACAGAAGGCAGAGTCCCTGGGAGCAGCCAGGGAAATCGGCAGGAAAGCCAGACAGAATGGACAGACACCTTCTGCCTGATGGCCCAGCCCACACAAGGTCCCCGCAGAGCCACGGCAGGAAATGGCCACTGACGTTTCCTAGACAAGAGGGTGGGCCAGGTGGCACCTGCTCACCCTGTCTTGAATCACGTGGTAGCAATTCTATGTTTTAAAGAGAGAGCTTTGTGGGACCAGCAGTTGGCGTAATGGCTATGTCGTTGGACTCCCATGTAGTTGACCGCGGCTCGAGTCCCAGACCTGGTGGCTTGAACTCACACTGGGCATGTGCGTGTGTGCCCAAGAACCCAAGAGGAGAATCGAGGAGAAGGGATTGTGGTGTGGCCATCCCCCCTGGGGGGTGATTTCTCATTTTCTGTCTCTCCATCTCTCTGTCTGGTGAGCGCACATGCCCTATAGCAAAAAAAACAAAAAACAAAAAACAGAGACCAGCAGGTGGCATGATGGTTAAGGTGCTGGACACTCCCACATGGCTGACCAGGGTTCAAGTCCTGAATCTGGTGGCTTGCTTTCTCACTTCCTCTCTCTCTCACTCTTACCCTCTTTCTCGCTCGGGTCAAATTAAAAAAATAAAAATGAATCGATAAATAAAATAAATAATTATTAAAAAACAACATCAACAACAACAACAAAAAAACAGAGAGCTTTGCTCCCCCAGGTGAAAAGGAAGGAAGAAGGGAGGAAGGGGGGGGAAGACCAGAGGGCACACCCAGCCAGTCATGTCCTTCTAAATCTGCTGCCACCTGGCTGTCACCAAACCTCTCCCTTCACCAACAAAATGCCTCCCTGGAGGGCTGCATGCCACAAGCCCCAGCTCCCCACAGCAGACAAAGCGGGAGACAAGGTCAGTGAGTCAAGACCAGCCTGGTGACACCACGTGGCACTGAAGTCCCTGCAGATAAGTGTCAGGACACACAAGACCTGGCTGGGGTGAGCCTTCCAGCTGCTGAGGCTGGAGCCGTTTTGCATAAACTCAGCCTCCTCCCCAGGCCTGGCCCTGGCGACTGCAGGCGCTCCGACACCAGAGGGAGCAGGTGGTCTCAGCCCAGTGAGCAGCCAAGGCCCAAGTGGAGAGGGCGGGGCATATCCTCCTGCCTGCCCTTCCTCTCGACAATCACAAGGGG